TCCCTCTGGATAAAGGCAAAGACAAATGCTCTTGACAGGATTCCCGGAGACTGGTTAACCCTCGTCCCTGCTTGTCGGTCTGCCCACGGATCACTCCCAAGCCTTCCCCGGCTAGAGGTAAAGAATAAAGACATTTGGCTTATTCAATCCACTGCATATTGTGTGCAGGTAAGGACTGCATTAAACAGTTCTAGAAAACTTGAAATCAATATTGGGCCATATACCCTTGTTTTTCTTTTGCTTCATTTTAAATTTCTACGATAGTTGAGATTCAGTAACTTTACAAGCCATGGAGAAGCCTTGGTGGGCAGTGGCTGGAATGTACTGCTGTGGGAGACACTCGATAGTCTGCTTTTGAGACTTACAGCGCTGGCAACCCTACCAGGCAGTGCTACTCTACCTGTAGGGCCATCAGGAGTTGGAACTGACTCCATGGCAACCAATTTGGGTTATGTTTGGTTTTAAGCCACCAGAAATTCCTTTCTGAAACAAGGCAAGCCAGAAACAACTAGTCAATCTCTTTTTCTTGAACTGTCATCTTACTTATTGGAGGGATAAAACTGGAAGGAACTTCCAAATATTCCGGGCTCATCACCAGCAATTCACAGATGGAAAATGGAGGCCTAGGGAGGTGGTTATCCTCATCACGATCACACTGAAAGCCGCAGCAAACTCCAGATTTTCTTCATCTGGCGCCAGTTTCTGCACCCAGCATGCTGCTGCCACCACCACAAAGGCAAAGCCACGTTCTCATTCCCTTAAGCATCTCACCTCTTGAGATAGTTTATTGTGCCAGCCTGGCCGATAAACACAAGTGGGATTAACTGAAGGGCAGAGAGATAAATGGCTTGGTGAGCCTCGCCTTTCTTGTCTCTTGCTCTTTGATCATCGGACCAGTGTGCGGCTGCCTTCCTTGTTCTGTGCCTCAATTTAAAGGCTACACTACCTGTGGGACATCTAGCCCGTGGTCTGTGTCGCTGTAAGTTGAGGTCCCTTTAAGACATCTCGAGCTGGGGGCTGGCGGTCGGTGACCTGCCTTGTGATTGGCTCTCTCTACAAATAGAGGAAGATCTGGCATCAGACTAGACTTGAAGGGCTGCTGGTCTCTCACAACTCTCTCTCACGGGAGTGAGTTGCACTGAGCCTTTTGTAGTGCTTTATAATTTAACTGTTCATTTCTTGTATCATATATTTATCTGTATATGACTTAACAGTTCATTTCTTGTTACATATCTAATTATCTTTATAAATAAGTATATCAAATTATCAGCAATTTGATTTTCTCTAGAGAACCCTGTCTAACACACGTCTCCTAGCAAATTCTTACTCTGGTCACTATGCCATCTTGAGACCCTCTTGTGGTAGTTACATAATCTGGTGTCAGTTTGGGACTTGAGAGGATTAAGAGTGAAGGGGTGAGTCTAGTCTTGTCAATCAGGTCATCGCCAATAAGACCTGTGTGGCCATGGCCTTCTCCTGAGAATTCTGGGAACTCCTGTATTTCCTCCATGGAGGCAGGAGACACACACACTGCTCACTCCCGAGATACTTTACTGACAAGACACATGGCACTACGCTGATAGACCCCATGCCCTGGGAATAGGAGGAACCTCGTGGAGACCCCTGCCAGTGCTGAGATGCTTCTACCACCACTGGATCCACAAGACTTCCCATCCACTGGCCTGTCATCTTGCATTCCGTGTCATTGCAGGTGTTTCCTGAGCCTGAAGAGGACTTTGTAGATTTGTATCGGACATGTGGGCTAATATCAGACTTACGGACTTGATCTGGACTGGGCTGCAATGTTTTCTCAATATTCAGCTGCTCTTGTACATAGAGCTCTTTCTTAAACCCATATGAGTGTCTATTAGTTTGTTTTTCTATTATACCAGGACCAACACACCTCGCCAAACTAAACGTGCAGTTCTCAAAGTGGAATGTGAAATTAGCAGGAATCCCGCAAAACAGAACGGAATGTGTTTGTTCAAAGTATAAATTCCTAGTCACATCCTTACAGGGCAGAGAGTGCAACGAAGCTCCTGGTACAGCATGGTCAGACATCGGTGACAAGGCAGCAAACCAAATGCCAGATAGGTGACCAGGCCGTACAAACCTGCTGACACACACATACACAATTTTATTTACGGTACCTGTATTCCTTGTCTGATAACAAAATTCATTCACCTGTATGGTAGAGTTTGAATCAGGGTCTTACCTGGCCTTACCCCAGCCCCCATGAATGGAAAAAGCCTTCAGGATCAACTCTACACTTGCATGTACTACAGACCCAATATGCCAGCCATGCTGTGTGGAGGTGGCCGTGAAGGGTGAGTAGCCCTCTTCTCTCCCTGGCCCACCCCCCTGCCCCTACCTGGCAGCACAGCCCCTGGATCAGACCCTAGTGAGACTTCTGCCAGTGTGCCAGAGCCTCTGGGCTGCTAGAGTGCCAGTGGAAGCCATGTGAGGTCAGGCATGAGATTGCCGAGGGGAACATCTCTCCTGTATGCCAGGATAAACAAGCACTGGTATGACCAGAGGTTACATGGACTTAAAAGAGTATGACCTTTTCACCTGGTGTTACAAATCAGACAGTTGTTGGGGACTGAACTCCACCTCAAGTTGGAAGGAACTGGGGAGAGTAGTGCTGAGAGCAATCTGGCCCACTGGCTGCAAGGCGTCCATTGGTGAGTGCTGCCAGTTTAGTGGTCTGCAGGGTAGTAGAACCAGCTCCAGACACCAGCACCCCCCCTGCACGCCCTCCCTTCTGTGAGGCCTTTATCTGATACAGGCAAGGGTGAGCATTTAGAAAGGGCATGGAACTTCGGGGGCTTTGCTGTTTAGTGGGACTCGTACAGGTCAGCCTCAAGAAAGATGTCAGGAAGACAAGAGGGGCAGCAGCTAGATGAGCGGGGGTGTACAGAGTATTTCAGCTGCCAGCGCACTTAGACTCGAGGGTAACGCGAGGGTCTCAGCGGTACATTCATTGTTTCATGATCCCTACCTTGTCAATTCCCGTTAGACTGCAGGACGACACCGTGAGCCCGGGGCAGACTTTCATATTCCACTCTCCGATGGCCTCCCTTTCCCCAGCCCTTGTGTACAGCTGGCCAGCTTGGTTCCTTGTCCACTAATCGTCACCGAGTCATGTTACTGCGCAGTCACCAATGTCACAGGGCTTTTCAATCTTTCACGTGGGGTCACCATGTGGTTTCACTACATAAGTAAATGCCGTGCAACAGAATAAACATGTGTAGATGCCCAAGAGTCTTGGTCTGTCTTTCACATGAAAACCAAATGCTTTGTATTTAAAATATTTCTTTGAAACAAGAGTCTTCATACAGTTTTCTTGGGTGGGAAGCACTGTTGAAAGTCTCGTACAAAACGTGCTGCAAGTGAGCATTGGAGTCCTCTGCCAGTGATGCCGAGTTGGTCTGTCCACTGGCGCAGCGGTCTGTATGCAGTGGCCTCAAACACGAGGTCCCAGTGAGCAACAGACTGCTTCCAGAGGACCTGAGTCGGCTGCATCAACATCATGAGGACTTCATTAACAATGCAGATTCTCAGGTTGCGTTTAGCCAGGGAGTGTGTATTTATTAAGTTACACACTCCAGGTGTGTTGGTCTACCACACTCCTGATTTTCTTATTCCTGGAAGTCTGGAGGCCAGCCCCAGCCTCACAAGGTACCAGGGAAAGTGGCCTGTTCTGAAGTGTGCCTTCCTCAGAAGGCAGGCTCATTCAAAGGTAATGAGGAAACTGGGGGAGGGGTGCAAAAACAAGCATAACTCCTCTTTGGACTGGGCAACTCAGAGACAAAGATTCCGACCATCTTTGAAGTTCGTTCTCTAGGGCTCCCTTGACCTTACTTTGGGTGGCTGAGAGCAAGACTGACGTTCAATTTCAGGTCCGGAGGCAGCCTGCTTCTCTGGTCTGCTTCCTGGAAGCAATTTAACAAAACTCGAAGTCCATAATGCACTGGGACTGGCTGGTCGTGGTCAGAACGCTGGCTGGTGCTACGAAGCCTCATCAGCTGGCAATACTGGGAAACCAAGATCACTGTTCTTAAGAGTCAGCATTACACACGACGAGGAAAGGTTTCAAAAGTATTAAGACAGAAAGAAATTCACACTGAGATCGGAACAAATGGGTAGAGGACCGTGATTTCTTGAATGGCCATAAAAGACTGGCTTTGGAACTGTCAACAGGGCAAGCAGGCCTGCATCAGGAAACCTCGGGCGTTTGTCACACATGCGAGGTGGAGTCACGTATGCTACATGAAGCAGTATCCCCAGGAAACCTCAGCCACGACACAGAACAGGGACAAGGGTACAAGCACATAGAGTGAGGACCAGCAGTTATTTTCTGACTGCTCCCCGACATGCATATCTTGGAATATAAATCCAATCGAGATAAATACATAAACAAGGCAAGAAAACAGTTGTGGCTTTTCCCCTCAAAAATTTGGTCGCTCTATTCTTACAAAAGCAAGCAGCACCTTGTGAGAAACAACAATCCATCAGTGAAAACTATCATAAAGTGACACTGAGCTAGGGATTGAGAATTCAAACTCTGCGGGGTGCAAATGCCCCCTCAGGACCCGTGTTTCAGGAAGTGCATAAGGATTCCTGCACTGTCATGTCACGGGGAGAGACATCCACTGCGTGGCAGAATGGACAAGGTCAGGTAGAGTCTGTTAAGGAGCAGAGTGATTCTTTACACAAAGTCATGGGTAGCGATCCTGTGGCCCCAGGTTTTAATCAGTGCAGAAGGTGTCCCTCATGGTCAAAAAGCAAAGCTACGGGTGGCAGGCTTTCCTGTTCAGGTGGATTTCCTGTGCTTCATTCAGTACACTTTCACGTGGATGTGCTGACTTCTTAGGGGGTCCCACACCTGGTCACCTGATTCTGAAACATTGTCAATCACACATCTGCAGCATGCTCCAGAGACAAGGTCCAAGGTAGCTTTTGATTAAAAGCATCAATAACTTTTTCTGAAACCAGGCTAATTTGACATTTTATCCCACATTCTGGGTTCAACGAAAAGACTTTTTAACTTTATTAAACTGTCCCCCATACTCCCAAGGAATGTGCATTCAGGTAAGTTACTGGTGATGGGGGTGGGGGTGGGATGGTCCTTGAAAACATAGAGCAAATGTGGATTTTGTAGAAAGAACTCTTATTTTTCATTAACGAAGGGTTGGAACAATGAACAGATCGGTTACACATACTCAAATCAAGATACAAAGTATATTCCACAGTAAAATGAATTCTTGTGCATTCTGCTATTTTAGATTATTGACATCACCATTCCATTAGCCCGGAGTACAGAAAGACCACAGTGGAAAACAACAGTCCACCGATTCTCATTTCCAGATGACCCCGTATTACAGAATACAACAAGGAAAAGAAATCGTCGAAAGGAACAAATAAGAATGACAACCCGATTTACATTGTGGGAATGAAGCTAGTCACCATGTGAAGTGTATGGTTTTCCTTCTTCAGATCAAGTTTTCCCACTCTTGGAAAGAAATTGTTAAGATAATACCATCTGCATAGCTGTACTTAGGGAGGAAAAAAAAAAGAGTAAGAAAATGACCAATAAAGGCACAGAACTACTGTGGCAGCTTTCTGAAGCAGCGTTGGTGCCCATCAAATGTTGACGCTTTCTGTGGCTGCTCTTGTCGTTAACTCACACTGAAAGATGAAAGTGAGTCCAGCCCAAAGACTGGACCCCAAAAGGCACTGCTCAACGACTGATGTGAAATACTCAAAACCCATGCTCTTCCGCTTCTCGTCCCTCAGCGTTTGTTGACATTCAGTGCACATCGTACAAAGGACCTGAAGGCTGAAGTGCACACAGCTCCCCACACAGCAAAATGGGAATCTGGAAAATTGAGTCTGACTACATAGCACTTACACATATATGACAGACCACCACCACCCCGCCCAGCCTTCAGCCAAGATTCAACAACACTAGGACACCAAGGGCCTGACCACCTACGTCCATGCTCAGACAGAAGGCCAAAGCACACTCGGCAGGGGCAAAAAGGGAGAAAATGCACCCCCAGGACTAGTTATAGACAGGAGCAAACCCGGACTCTTCACTCACCACTTTACTGCTGCTGCTGCCAACGCCAACAGATTAAAATGGGTACAACATGACAACGTGGAAAAGTACCAAACTGCAACAGTTTCGGCCAAGGAGGAGAGGAGTGCTGACTAAGAATTACTACAGTTAACAATGCTACAATAAAAACAGTTGCAAACAGGGATTTGGCACATTTACAAGGTAAAAGCATGCACCATGAAAACACTTCAGACGTCTCTCAATAGAAACAGCCAAGGAAGATGGAAACGGGCATCTTTTACAAAACCCCCTATGACAGACAGACACAGAGCCAAAGTGGTCCATTTAGTAGCTCTGTAGCGGCAAAGTCACAGCACTGGAATTTAGTAATTTGCATTTCTAATTGGCAGCCACTCTGGGTGTGTCCCTACCCGAGAAGCTGGCTTTATCATACCACATTGGTATTTATCTAGTAATTTGGTAATCAGCATACACCAGGTTAATCTTCAACCACAATGTTTAAAAATAATAATAAAGCTAGAGTTAGCATCTTACTGCAAAACTCTCAGTGTAATTTCCACAATAGTACTTTCAGCAGGATAGTAACATAAATTTCATCCCCCCAAAAAACTGTTAGTTATTGCCCAGGAACTGGGAAGAATTTTAAGCAATAGGAGAAGTACTGTATTCTGACCATACCAAGAGTTAAAAACAAAGAGGTCCTACTAAGAGGAGTATCTTATAGACAAGCTGGTCACATCATGTGCATAGTTAACATTGTGTTTTAATAAAGATTCTTTTGCAAACCAAGAAAAAATTTAGTAAAGTTATTCTTTTCTTGATGGGAAACAAAAACCTTTAAAAATGAACTACTGGTGGTTTGTTGAGGAGGGGGGAATAGAGTAAGTACATACTGAAGTTCTGGAATGCAGCACCTCAACTGCACATCTGCCCTAAACGTTAGAGATTATGAAATCCAAGTGTTGGCTTGATGATCACATCATACTTTACAGCGGTTCCAATTCCAATGTCACTTTATCATCATGTCAATTAATGTTCCCTAATACAGAAGGTTGTGCTAAAGAATGCAAGGATTCCGCATGCTGCTGCCGTTCCCTGGTCCCGTCCACACTTGCAGCTGTCCATGAGACAGCAAAAGAAGTCTGGCCTTACCACGCCACGCGGCAACGACTAGAAAAGAAGGACAAACTAATTAGAGACCATTTACAAGGCAAGGGTGTGACTACATCACTGGAACGCAATCAGCTGTTCAGAGTTTTACCTTGACGGCACAGCCCCCTCCTCAGTAGAGCCCGCATTCCTTCAGGTTGTTCTTAATGATGACGTCTGTAACAGCATCAAAGACAAACTGCACGTTCTTGGTGTCCGTGGCACAGGTGAAGTGGGTGTAGATCTCCTTGGTGTCTTTTCTTCGGTTCAGGTCCTCAAACTGGCACTGGATGTAAGCAGCCGCCTCTTCGTACGTGTTGGAACCTGAAACAGAGCCGTCCTCATTTCAGACAGAGCCTCACCACCAGCAGGGCCAAGACAGAAGTGTGTGTGCTGCCTTTCTTTCTACCTCAAACGAAGCCGCCACATATAAAGACGAAGGAAAAGAATGCGTTGTCTTTCCCCTAGATTTCTTTACAGGGAAAAGCTAGAAAACATAAAAGGAAGCCAGGGAAGTAGGAGGATGTATTTCTAGAGAACCCAATTGTTTAAAAAGGTCACAAAGCCTGTGTTCCTTGCAATGATCTTCAGAAACACAATTCCAAAGGGTAAGTCATGCTGCTTCTCACAAGCATAACACAGAGCTTAATCTTGGAGCACTCAGGCAATCATTTAAATGATCAGTCAACTATTAAATGCAAAAGGGAAAGAGACTGGAATTATATACTTTGAAGGGTGAATTGTGTGGCATGTGAATTATACTAGTTCAAGGGGGCGGGGGAAGGAGCATTAAACCCAAACTCCTTTTATCAACAAGATGTGTTCGCTCACACTCCTAATCACCCTCTTGCTACCCTATCTTGCTCACGAGCAGCTCTCAGCGTGGCCATCGACACCGGGCACAGAGGCAGGAGCACTCAAACTCACACACACTCTGCAGTGCAGTAGAAGTTATTTTTAGTGACATTAAGGATGACAGAAAATATCAGCAGCTAAGTATATAAAAGAGACGACATAAAACACTCAGGAAAAGGATACTAAGCAGCCATCAGGATTGTGAGAATCTCTAGTGAATTCTAGTGAATGACTAGTGAATGACAGGCCTGGAAGTTTACAAGCAAAGTGCTGGATGTGAATCCAGGCTCTAAGCTACATGTGAAGATGCTAGTGGGACCTTCAACATGACGGCAACTGTTACTTGTCTCTGGTTTCTCTCCTATACGAACATGGGGCAGGCACTCAATATAAACTTACCTAACTCATACCTACCCCGCCCCTTGTTACTCGGAACTGCTAACTACATTCTCAACTTCCCTGAGGAAAAAAGAGGACCAGTTTTTTAATAAGTCCACTACCTCATGTGAAAGTAACCTTTATTTACAACTGATCGTAACTCTGGCCTTACAAGTGTCTTCCTGTTCAAATATCAAACCCTCTTTTTTCTTTAACCCTTTTGTGAGCTGTATTGCACGATGCGCAGTTTTTGCCTTTCTCGTTTGGGGGGGAACTGCTCTATCAGTTGTAGTACGTGCTGCCGCCTGGCAGGATCACGTGTAATTGGATGAACCTGAGGAAACAAGCCTTATCACTACAGTCCACTCTTAGCCTCATTTATCAAATCTGTATTTCCACCTTTCTGGTTTCCAACTTTTTTCATCCCCTGCTCCCTCAAGTTATGTTTATTCTGGATATCATATTAATAGAATTGTACAAGGGGGTGAAAAATGAAAAGATAATGAAAATTTCCCATGAACTTTTTGAAGCCCCCTCATAAGACCTTTTACATCTAGCTTCTTTCACTTAGAACGTGTGTTTGATTTTAAGGGTTTCACAGAGAAGTAAACCTGAAATGGACTCGAGTCTTCAGTGACAAGCTCGTCACACACACACACACACACACACACACACACACAAAGAAAGATGTACTCAGGTTCACTCAAGTTCTGGCATGCGACAGTACTTTCTCTCTTATCTGACTCATATTCCTTTGTGTTTATATCACAATTTATCCATCCATCCTTTCCAGATGATTCCTTCGTCTCCCACCTGTTTAGAAATCTTGCTGTATCAATTATACTCACTTTATAGAACTTCTTTTTGCTATAGCCCAAGAACATTCTTGAATCTCTTTGATCCCAGTTGCTCAAGAATAGCCAACACTTGTCTTCATTCCTTAACTTCTCACTCAATAATTCATTGCATTTCGCTCTAATCTCACATCTGCAACGGACACTGTTCTCACTGACAGTCACTGATGTGCAAATTGCTAAATCCAATGTCCACTTTCCAATGTATATCTTAGTTTATGTATTTATTGACCACCACGCTGTTCTCATCCTGACGGTGCTGAAGGGTAGATGTTGGACTGCTCACGAGGTCAGCAGTACAAACCTATCAATCATTTTGCAAGAGAAAGATGACGTTGCTGCTTCCATAGATTCACAGCCCTGGAAACCCTGTGCAGAGTTCACGACAAGTCACATCGACTCTGTGGCATTAAGTTTGACTTTTGGATGCTCACTCTTTTTCATTTCTCCTCTTGTTTTTCTCTTTGTAGTCAACATAAATCTTTTACTTTCGCCAATAGAAACTGATTGCCTTTTTCATTTTTTCCTGTCTCTTTTCTCATTCCATATACTCTCTCTAGTTCATTACATACAATTCCCCCCAACGGATTCTCAAATCACTATCTCAAACCTTGACCTTTCCCCAAGCTCCATGGTCACATAAATAACTGCCCTTTAGACACTCCCATTTGGGTGTTCTACAGATACTTCAAAATCAACATCCCTACCTATGAATCCAGATCACAAGAATATCATCTAATAAATACAGAAAAATGCGAATGCCTTGGATTCTTCCAAATTCCTTACTTTAGCTTTTTTTTTTGTTTTTTTTTAATCATTTTATTAGGGGCACATGCAACTCTTATCACAATCCATACATACATCAATTGTGTAAAGCACATTTGTACATTCATTGCCTTCATCATTCTCAAAACATTTGCTCTCCACTTAAGCCCCTGGCACCGAGCCCTCATTTTTCCCCTCCCCCCCCACACCCCCTTCCCTCATGAACCCTTAATAATGTATAAATTATTATTTTGTCATATCTTGCCCTGTCCGACGTCCCCCTTCACCCACTTTTCTGCTGTCCGTCCCCCAGGGAGGAGGTCACATGTAGATCCTTGTAATTGGTTCCCCCTTTCCAACCCACCCTCCCTCTACCCTCCCAGTATCGCCACTCGCACTACTGGCCTTACTCTAGCTTTTTATGTTGTTATGTGCCATCAAGTAAACTCCAGTTCATAGTAACCTAGGAAGACAAAGCAGATCCCCAGGTTTTCTTCCTCTCCTAGAGCCAATGCTGAATTCAAACCACTAATCTTTCGGCTAGCGGCTGCTGCTGCTGCTACTGTTAGGTGCCAAGGAGTGGATTCCAATTCCTAGGCCTCGTGTGTACAACAGTGATCTGCGTATTCCTTCCATCACAGTTTGATGCTTCTTGTATATCCAATTTTTGCCCATAGAATCCTTCAATAGCATAACTCAGGGCTTGAATTTTTTCTTTCTTTCTTTTAGCCCTGAGACATGTTGAGTGTGTTCGTCCTTTTAGGCTAACTCCAGGTCCTTGCACATTTCATTAGAATACATTTTTCCCCCCAGAGGAAACGCTGACAGCTCTAGCCTAGAACACATTTTGTCTTCTCAAACTGCCCTGACAATTTTTCATTTCTTTTATTGAAAGTATCTGCTCGGCAGACAACATTTCTCCTCCCCGGGAAATACACTACTGTGATCGAGCCATGGTGCTTGCACTGCGATGGATCGCTTTCACATGGACTTTCCAGTTATGGTGTCATTTCCACCAAAATACTGGGTGGAACTCGTCAATAAGGTGCTACAGGTCCACCAAGGGAGTAGACAGCTTGCTAAAAATACAAAGTGGGTGGAACTCCTGTGAGGGCGGGGTCGTCTGAATCAGGTGTGTGGAACCCTAATGTGGGACTGGTCAGCTTACCATCCTGTTACCCTTAAAATGAGCCCCTCACCACTCCCAAGAAGAGAGGGTGGAGACTGTGTCCTCTGGACCTGGGGTTCTTGCTCCGAGAGTCCTTTAGACTGAGGAGACAGAGAAGGAGCTATTACCCTGAAAGTAGTGTGAGACGGTGGGAAACTATAGCAAAAGAGGCAGGAGACAGGCATAAGACAGCCCTGGGGGTTCCCAGCCCAGAAAGCAAGGCAGCTATAATGGGTATGCTGACCTCCGGTGCTAGAGAGCCGAACATCTTCCAGCACAAGGCTTCCTAGCTGTGTGGGATGCTGCTGGGCACTTACCAGCAAAGCTGAAGAGCTTTGCACCACTTGCCTAAGCAGGGCAGAGGTTGGGAGGTCTGAGAGCGGGCAGAGGACTAGCTTGAGGGCATGGTCAAGAGCTATCCTTACTGAAGAACTTAAATCATTAGTGTTTCTGATTGTGAATTTTAACCTGTTCCATACCTAATAAAGGTCCTAACACTGAGACAACTGCAATGATCTACCAAAGCCAACAGAGGAGAGTCTCGTGGGAGGGACGCCTGGAATGTAGGACCTCCACCTCATAGCAATCAGCCTTAGTTCTGTTGCTAAGGGTTCTTTCCCCACTTCGTGAAGCTAGAAGAGGTCAGACGCCTCCACCAGTCATTTTGACGGTGGTGCACCCATAGCAATCATGTCTACATACTTGACATAGAATGTGTACCAGTCTTAACCTAGGCCAGAATAGAGCTCCTTGTCTCTACAATGGATGAGATACAGAAACTGTAGCAGGGCCACCTTGCACCACATAAACGGAAAGTTGGTAAAGAGAGAAAACAGAGAAGATACATAGAATGATGGACATTTTGATGATTGTGAGTGATAGGGCTACAAAATGATGAAATGGCAAACATAAAATTTTACAACAGTAAAAATAAACACAGGAAAGTAAATGTCTAGAAAAGAATGAGGGAAATAGAGGAAAGAGCTAGGAGGCAAAGGGCATTTATAGAGGTCTAAACAAAGGCATGCACATATGTAAATATATTTATACATGAGGATGGGGAAATAGAGCTATGTGCTTTTATTTATAGGTTTAGTATTGAGGTAGCAGATGGACATTGGGCCTCCACTCAAGTACTCCCTCAATGCAAGAATACTTTGTTCTATTAAACTGGCATTCTATGATGCTCAC